TGTGGGTAATAGAGTAATTGATTTTGGGTGCAAAAAAATTTATTGAAGTGCTTCGTCAAAGCTAGCATATGATTCAGTACTTTTAAATTTTGAGGACGAAATTTTTTTAAGAGGGTAGATTGTGACATCCTGTCTCTATTACAAAAAAAAAAATGGATTATATTTATTCATAGTAATAGAGTTTAATTGAGAGTTTGACCAAAATGAAAGCCTTTAATTTTATTTAGAAGTCTAATTATTTGTATTCAATGTCCAGAGATACTTGTTAATGTAGGTAAATAATATAAGCACGAGTTGTTAAAATTAAATAAAAAGAAGAGATGGGCACTTGTCCATTACCAGGGGCTGAGTAGGGTGAAGACAAATGTATGCGCATGCGTAACTCAATAAAGAATGTAGAAACTGACTAAATGTGGGTGTAATAAGTGTTAGGACACTCATCCACTTGCATGAAGGTGTGGCGTGTGATGTAATAATTCAAGGGACATATGTATTTGGGTGGCGGAAGTACCAAGTGACTAGGCTTGTGGGTGTGTGGGTGAGTGACAAGTGCGTAAACACTTGTCGTAGAGCAAGGAATGGCAATAAATCAGGTGGGCACTTGTCCACAGGCTGGTAAGTGAAGTGTGACTAAGCATGGTTCTAAGGGGCAATAAAAGGGAGGTTAGGGGCTGGTATAAGGAACCAAGAGAAAAGAAGAGGAAGATATGAACTGAGAGAGAGAGAGAGAAAGAGAATGGGTTTTTACGAGTAAAACATGAGGTAGGTTTTGGTAGTTACACGGTGGTTTATATATTGATTCTTACGAAACTCATGGGACTCGGAAATATGGTCTTGATAGCAATTAGAGTCAAGTTTATGACTTTAAAACTCTTTGCTAAGAGTATATTCTTGATTATTCTCTAATTTTTATACTATATTGAGATATCATTATTTTGTATTTTTGATTGAATATTATTGATCTCATTGATCGTGTTTTTGTGGATTGAAACGGGGTGGTGGTAGTCAATAGTCCAATACATCGCCAGCTAAGAGACCCGTGGGATCGAGTTGAGGTGGGATGGCTGGTAAGGTATTTGATCTACGTTCTAATCTCGCATTAAAGATGGGCACATCCCAATATAATTATTGTAATATTGAAATTGAGAGATTTATTTGTATTTGAGGATTATATTGATAATTGTAATTTTATTGAGGATTTAACACTCTGTTTATCTTCATTGGATCTATTTTTATCAATTAACGTCTCTAAAAAATTAGGGCATTTACCTATGGTAATAGAAGAATGATTTTGGGTAGATAAAAATATATTGATGTGCTCGGTCAAAGCTAGCATATGATTTGCTTGTCATTTACAAACTCCCTTTTTTTTATTTTTTATCCAATGATGTATGCTCGATCTTGTTTAAAATATTGCAATGTTTTTTCCGCGTGTAAGAAAGTTGTGCAATGTAATAATTCAGAAATCTAATGTCCTCTCCTCAGGAAACAAAGGAAATCCGATTGGTGATGTGTGCAATACAAAAAAAAAAAAAAAAATCCTTTTGACTTGTGGAAAAATGAAGGAATTGATTCTAGTGTGTAAAAATCAAGAAAAAACACAGTCGGCTAAACTTCAGGAATCAACTCACCATAATCAAGCGCTTTGATTCTCAATTTTCACTCATTCGAGGTTGTATTCGAATTTGCTTGGATGGAAAATATTCAGCAAAAACGAAGTTTTCATAATATAAATTCATAAGGATTGGGAATGGAAGCTAGAATGATAAGCACTTAGATGTATAAATGATTTTCAAGCAATACTCATTCCAGATGAACCGTCGGCGAGAAATCCAGGTGGTCACTTAACAACTAGTTTTAAAGTTGGTTTTTCCCTTCTACAAAGAATTTGATCTATTAGAAATCATTAGAGAATCACTATGCTTGATTATGCATGAGAATCAACCATCGGATCGCGCCGACACTTAGTTGAAAGTAAAACCCATCAAGCCGAAATCAGCAAGAAACAACATGTAAAACTAAAAAAAATGAGCAACAAGACTGAAAGAAGTAATCTCCACTAGAATAACTTCAAAACACTAAGTTCAAATACAAGAACAAACTTTATATATAGAGCTTTGAAAATGAAATGGAAATCCTTTTGGGTGTCTTCTCCGTAACCCGGCAAAACTCTTTTAATGTAAAACTCAAGCAAAACTCAAAAGCTAAGCCTTCCTCCTCTAATGCATGAAGGAGTGTGTATATATAGTGACATTTCCATCCTTCCTCTTTATTGGCTAGTGTGAGTGGCATGGGTGGTGGAAGCTTTCCCAAAGAATTCTCCTCCGTCGGTATCGACCAATGGAACCGCTCACTTTGTTGTTGGGAAGTGCACTCATCCAATCAAGATCCTTGCCTAGGAAGTAGGAGCCGTCCCTCAAATTGTGCAACAAGTGGATGGGAGTAGCTTCACTGCCGAGTAATGAAGGCTCGGGACTTCACGAACTGACTTTGTGTGTGACGAACCTGTACCAAGCATGAAGAACTAGTTCCAAGCTTTTTGCTGATCGTAGTAACAGTTCTAGCATTGTAGAATCAATTCCAGTCTCTCTGGACTTCATAGAACTGCTACAGGCATGCTAGAACTGGTACTAAGCTTCATGCACCTTGTAAAACCGGTTCTACCATCTCTTTTCTGATTTGCTTCTTTTCTCCTTTGAACTCCTATCCTCTTCTTTCCTATGCCTCCCATGATCTTCTAACTTGATGCCAACATGCTCTTCTTCATCTTCTTGGCACCTTCAAAAACAAATACCACAATTAATTCAAACTTAGCATAATTCAAATACTTAAACGCTGAATCAACGATACAAAATGGATAGATTAACTTGTCAAATATTTAATATTATATTCTTAACCATGGTTCTGAATAACGGTAACAAAAAATGTAACGGTATCGATAACAGTGTAACGGACACAAGATGTAATGAGCGTACGTAACAGTAACAAAAATCAGAGCCGTGAATTTTGTTAATACATTCACAACTATGGACAAAAATTAAAATTTTCTATATATTTGGATTAAAATAAAATAAATTCAGTTTTTTGTCATTTATAACAATTTTTTATTATATTAATCTTTTTGGTATGCTAAATTACTTAATTAACCCAAATTTATGGCAAATGAAAAAAAAATAGTTCAAGCAATTAATATCTGTTTATTTGAAAATTGCATTTAGAAAGTAATCAAAAGAATTGATAGATTTAAATCATTGGATAAAATAAAAATGTTTTGCAACTATCAATAAAAATTTTTAGCTTAATTTGTGTAAGATGGGTCCCACCCCCTACAAGTTTTTAAATCTAATAATTCACATTATTAAATAACATTACACTTGTCATTTATCCATTTACTAAATTTATTAAGAATGCATCAACAATCATTCATTAGATAGGTTGTAGAAAAAAAATGATCCACTTGATATTTGTCTTTTCCAAAAGCATGCCAACCATTGATAGCCTGTCCTTTATCAACCTAGTCGGCTTCTTTATACTTCGGTTATCTCTTCCGGGTAGAAAATCTCCATGGACGAGCTATGGAAGCTAACAAATAGGCTGTTATGATTGCGTAACGGACTCTAACGATCCTGTAATACCCGTTACATCTCATTACGGTGCCGTAACAACCGTTATAAATGTGAAATTCTTTTTACCCGTCATATTCGAAGTTCAATATTTCCGTTATACAACCGCCGTTACACATCATAATCACCGATTTTTAAAATCATGCTCTCAACATACCCTCTAGCTTAAACTTTTCTAGTCCGTAGCAAACAATCATTCATTCATCTCATACACGTGACAAAATTTAAAACATTCAATGAAAATCATGAAGTTTAAATGTGCGTTTGGTAACGGTTTTGGTTTTATGTTTTTTTTTTAAAAATAAATACAAAATTAGTTTTTATTTTTTTTATGATAAAAATTAAAAATATAAAACATGTTTGATAGTCATTTATATTTAAAAAATTATAAAAATAAAAACAAAAAATATATTTGGTATTATATATTTTTGTTAATAGTTTATTTTGGGTATTAGATCTGTATATATATATTAGTTAATATTTTAATCTCAAATATTTCTGGTGATCACTCGCAGATGTTCTTTGTGATCAAACAAAAAAAAAATAAAAAAATAGAGATGCTCGTGTTGACACTCACAGGCAAGATCCATTTGCTGGCACACACATACACACAGACACACACATATACATGCACACACACACACACACACATATATATATACGCACAGATCTCTATATACAGCACACACAAACACAAATAAACACACACACACATGTAGATCTATGTAAAAATAACATCATATATGTAGATCTATGCACATATATGTATATAATATATATGTACATATATATATATATGGTATAAAGAAGAAAAAGGGGGAAACGAACAAGAGAGATGATGTAGGTTTCGTCTTCGTCTTTGATTTCGTCGATTTCGTCTTCGTCTTCGTCTTCGTTGGTTTTAGAAGAGAGGAACGAGTGAGAGAGAGAGGAACGAGCGAGACAGACGAGGGAAAAAGATAAGAAAAAAAAAAAGGAAAAGCGCCTTTTATAGTTGGGACAAAAAAAAAAGCCTCGTTTTGTTGCTAATGAGATTCGAATGTTGGATCTCATTAATTGTTCACAGGAGACGCGCGTGTTTTTAATTTTGAAAACATCCTTTTTTATGTTTATAGATTTGGCCCTTGTTTGCAAAACAAAATGGCTTAAAAAAAATAAAAAAAAATTTCAAACATATTTTTTTTGTTTTTTTAACAAAAAGTGCAAAAAAAAAACAAAAAAAAATAAAAACATATGGTTACCGAACAGCACCAAATATACAAAAGGTAGCAATCTTAGGACAAAACTGAGTTTTCTATTCTAGGTCATTACCACCCACAACCCAACTGGACGACTTCTTTAAACATAAAAACTCTAATTACATACTAAACATGCTAGCTACTCGGAAGCAGACGACTCCTTCTCATCATCTGATCTAGACTCGGCCTCCTCCTCATCTTCACTACTCCCTATCTCCTGAACCGCATCCCTCGTCTCAAAGACAAATGTAGGAGGTGGTGCTAAAGTAGTTGGAGCAGCAGTCCCCGAAGTGGTAGCTCCAGCTGTGGAAACTGGTTGAGGAATGTTCAGTGTCGTCTCCCCAGGGGCCAGGATGTCAAATAAGTGTCTCTACATCCTTAGTAAAAGCTCTATGTGTCACGCCATCCTACGATGTACCCCTCTCGATTCAGTCATATCAACCTCCAAACCATTCACCCTCTTCTCTAACTTGGTCACTCTCTGCAGCACTGAAGCTCTTGAGGGCGGTGGAGGATGAGCCGCTGCAGCAGTGGAAGATGCTGGCAGATCTTGAAGCCTCTCTATCCTCGACATCGTGAAGCTCTTCTTCTCCATGTGCGCGAAGGGCATATTCCCCCGAGGCCTGCTAGCTGAAATGTAGTCCTTAATCACTCCCCAGATGAGTAAGGCAACGTCAATCCTCGAGCCCTCCATAAACTCATACAACAGGGTGATCTTGGGCAGCATTTGTTTTTTCTTATTCCCTCTGGGGTATACATTATAGTGTATGATCTTATTCAACGTCCGGTAATCCCCAATTATACAACCCTGCACAAACTGCCCATCAAAATGCTAAAAATCCTCATACATATCCTTAGCATAATCACCCAATGCCTTTGACTGAAAATCAGAATGGGGATAATCAATCTCGTTGGGTTGAGGTCTTTCGTAACCCAAGTACGTGGCTATGGTATCCAGTGTAACCTCAATAACCTTTCCATGGATCGTAGTCCTCAATCTCTTCTCCTCGCCACTCACTAGAGTCATAGCAATATAAAACTCCCGACAAAGATTAAGAATATACCTAGACACATGCTTAAAAAATAAATCCAAACTTCTTGCCACATTCTGTCAGGTCGGCCCGCTCTTCCCCAAGCTCGGTCTATCTACCATCCTCTCATAACTTACTCCCCTTGCCGCAATCGTAGACTCATAAATGATCTTTTTTTTCTTCTTCCTAGCTTCGGACTCCTCCTCATTGCCGCTTGATGTGGCTTTACCTTTCCCTTTTTCTTGCCTAGTAGCTCTAGGCCTGGAAGAGGATGCCGAACTCGACTTCGTCACCAGAGATAATACTCCACGGGTCCTAGCCATTCCAATTACCAAAACACCCATTCAAATCAAAGGATGGATAACCATCCCCAACCAATAATCTAAGCCAAACGAAGTCGAATCAAGCAAATTACGAGCAGCCATTGTTGAAGACTTAGGGTTTTGGGGGTTTGGGTAGTTTCGGTGGAGATGAGCGGGAGAAGGTAGGTGGAAGATCAAAGGTGTTTGGGGTTGTGGGGAGTGCTTTCGGAAGTGCAGGGAGAGTTTGACGGAGTGGTTTTGATTTTTGTGAGGTAACGAGTGATTGATTAAACCTGAGGTGTCTGTGGGCGGGTTATCCGCAATTTTTGTTATTTGACCCAAAAAAAAAAATAGGTCTAAAGTTTGATAGTTAGCCTGTTCGAACCTAAGCTTAATATTCTTAAAAAAAATGTTTGTGTTTGTCCTCAAGCCCATTACCTGTCCCGAAGTCCGGCCCAAGAGCCTGCTCATAAAGCTCGCCCGCAAGCCCAGCCCAGCCCAGCCCAGCCTAGCCTACATTTTCTTTGAAAAAAAATTATATTTTTACACCATTAAATTTGAAACTTTAAAATAAGTCTCTCAATATCGAAATTTAAAATTTTAAAAATTTAGATATTATAAATAATGTACTATTTTCTTTTCCATGTATTAAACGTATAAATTTTAAATGATAGAGTAATACAAATGACAAATAAGTTAGTAGGTATCATCTTAATTGAGATTTATTCATTCTATTAGGTGTAGTTCATTATTTTTGTTTTTCAATCTATTTTGACTTTATTTTGAATTTACACAAATATTAAGTTACAAAAATATTCATTATTTTTAATTAAAGATGCATATAAAAAAGCCTGAAAACAATCCCACTCAATAGGTTTACAGGTTGGGTTGCAAGGTCTATCCCTACTCGAAGCCCGGTTTGACCCGCACGATAACTCACTTAAATAAGTAATTGGGCTTGTACAATCCAAGTTTGGCCCAAAAAAAATTTTGCGGACCTAACCCAACCCGACCCACAGAGACCCCTAATTAAACCTTTGGTATTCTAATTTTAAATGTTGGTCAAAACTTACAGCGAAGAACTGATTCTCCCCTTGTAGAACCGGCACCTCGATCTCTGTCATTCGTAGAACCAGTACTAGCACCCAATTTTATTTTATTTTTTTTGATTTTTGATTATTGATTTTTTTTTCTTTATTTTAGTGACCCTAAGGCTTCCTAGACCCTAATTAAATGCCTAAACCACCTAATTATTTAATAACATCATATTAGTGTTTAATTTAAAGCACATAAAACATGCAACAACTCTGCAAAACCTCTTCCATCTTAAAGTGAATTCTAAAAAACACTAAGGCCCCTTTTACCGGGTACACAATTGCATTTAGTAAATGTAACTAACCTTTAAACTCTTAGGTCACTCCGGATGAACAAGTTGCGTCTCGTGAAGGTTTTCAATGAAGATACTTACAAATTTCTTTTGACCCCATCTTGAATTTTGAACATATTATAATATCCTATTTAACAATAAGATTTAAAAAAAATTCCTTGTCCACCAAAGGCATTTAGTTAAGAGCTGCTTCATAGAATCCCCATTTCCACTTGACACTCACGTGTGTGAAATGAATGTGCAATTTAATAGATTTATTATACAAAACCCAAATCTATATTAGCTGTCTAATTTTGGCTTTGATGCAAACCGTACCAAGGATTTCCACTCATTGTTTATGTGTGAGACGTAATCTTATAATTCAAAACAAAGCATAGCTCACATATAATTTAGAAATGAAGGATAATTATGGAAATGAAACAACTTTGGCATAATCATGAAAGGAATGTTAGGGCAAATGAAAGCAGTACAATTGACCTACCTCTTAGCATGATTCAGTACATACACTCACCACCATTCTCAGGATAAAAAAGGACTTTAATTTGGTTGTAATGTGGCATTGGGTGAAAGCTAAAGAAACGAATCGATGTAATAATTCAAAAAGGAGTTATCCCAAGAATGTGATGTTCCCAACCACATCTCATTTGGAATGCAATTAGCTCACCACATTCATTTCTCTATCTTTCACCCTTTTCCATTATTTTTTCACATTTTTTTTTCACTTCTATTCTTTCTTACTTTGCTTGCTTTTGAATGCCAACAATAAGATCTATACTCATCATCCACCTTTCTTTCACTTTTTTTCTTTATTTTTCCTTTTTATAACCATCATTCCCTTTTCACTTTGTAAACAATATTAGTATTGGGATAACCAAGTTAAGAAAAACATATTTATGCTTCGCTTGGTAAATAATGTGGCTTAAGAAATGAAATTTTCAATAAAACTCAATCACAGTTAACTACAGACAATGACAATAAAGAATAGGCTAAGGCTCAAATTAATTTAAAGATGGCCTAAGATAATTTCCCAAAAATGTATGGCAAGACACTTTTTTGCATTGAGATATAGTCAACTAACTACTTCTCCTATATTAACCAAAACAAAAATAATGAAATTATTGAAAGAGTAGTATTTTGAGTAACTGTATTTCAATCCTCCAACAAAGAATGACACAAACACAAAGGCAATTATCCATTTTCACTATTTATGTCAAGCCTTTTAAGATATGAATCTCATTCAACAAAATCACAAAAATTTGCATACCCGTGCACATAGGGTGAGTTTCAAATTAAAACATGAACTTGATATTTAATCATAGAATAAACTTCTACAGTTATTAGGCAAATAACTCAAGATTCAAGTGAATTAATAAAAAATCTCACGCTAACTAAGAAAGAATAATACAATCCAAATTGGATGCATTTTTTTTTCAAAAATTTTCAATTCTTTTTTAATTTTTTTCTCAATTTTTCAATATAGGCATTGTGGTATTAACATAGAATCATGGTGCAACCCTTACCCCCTCTCCCCCACTTAAATCACACATTGTCCTTAATGCAAAAATAAACATGTAATGAGAAAAATGAATACAATAAGGATAAGAAAACACCTGGTATTGAGTTCCTAAAAATAAAACCACCAGTTGCAAAACAACGACAAAAACTATGAAAAATGTGGTAAATACAATAAAATAAATTGAAAATCAAAAGAAAATAAACTAACTACCCTAAACTAAAAATGAAATAAAAAAGACTATTCAAACATAGGATCTTGATACACATGATCAACCAGTTCTTCCACATCTTCCTCAAGTGAAAAACCTTCTAAGAATGACTTAAGCCGTTGTCCATTAAATTTAAAAGTTTGATCATTCTTAGCATTTTAATTTCCAAGGCCCCATTAGGATAGACATATATAGGGGCCAGTCCATCGCGAACGCCACTTTCTTGGAAAGAGGTGAAGGCGAAAATTGTATAGCAGTACTTTTTGACCCAGCTCAAAGGTTATTCTTAATATTGATTTATCATGAAAAATTTTATCACTTTATTTATAAATCCGAGTACTCTCATACTCATCCCTACGTATTTCTTTCAATTCATTCAATTGCAATTTCTTGTGCTCACCGGGTAGACCCAAAATAAAATTCAATGACTTTATGACCCAATATGCTCGGTGTTCAATCTCTACTGAAAAATGACAGGTCTTGCCATATATCAACTTATAAGAAGACATACCTAAGTGAGTCTTATATGCTATATGATAGGCTCATAAAACATCAGTCAATCGAATTGACCAATCCTTACCGTTAGGGTTCACCATCTTTTCTAATATATGCTAATTTTCCTATTGACCAACTCAAACTGATCGTTGGTGTATGGATGATAAGTAATTGACACTCTATGTGTGATACCATATTTGTGCATCAAAGTCCCAAATGGCTATTACAAAAATATGAACCACCATCACCGATGATTGCCTTAGGCATTCCAAACCTAGACAAAATATTTTCTTTCAAAAATTTGATGACGACTTCATGATCATTTGTCTTGCTTGGTATAGCCTTTACCCACTTAGAAACATAATCAACTTCTAGCAAAATATAATGATAACCAAAAGATGAGAGAAAATGACCCATGAAATCTATACTCTAGCAGTCAAAAATCTCAATTACAATGATAGGGTTTAGAGGCATCATATTCCTTCGGGTTACTCCACCTAACCTTTGGCATCGGTCACAGTTTTTGCAGAACTAGAAGCAATAATTGAACAAGGTATGCCAGTAGAATCCATACTACAGGATTTTTACTTCAGTTTTCTTTGATGAAAAGTGGCCTCCACACGCTTTCGAATGGTAGAAAAAGATAACATTATGTTGCTCACCAGTGGGTACAAATATTCTCATAATCTTCGCCATTGGGTACAAATCTTATAAACAAGGGTCATCAAAGAAAAACTACTTTACTTCCACCAAAAAATTTATTATCTCTTGTGGACTCCAATGGGATGGTATTGTCTTGTAACAAGAAAATTAACAATATAAGGTGGTCACTTGTCGACCAGCTGGTAAGTGAAGTGTGACTTAGCATTTTTCAAAGGGACTATAAAAGGAGGTAAGGGGCTGGTAAGCGTATGGGTTTTGTGTAATCTCCACGCTTATTTAGCCAACATAGCAATATTGAAAGTTCTCAGATCGTGAAATCCCATGCCTCCATTATCTTTCCTTTTGCACATGTCTGCCCACTTTACCCAATGTATTTTTCTTTCCCCTTTCTTTTGCTCCCACCAAAAAATTTAAAGCTAAAGACTCAAGTCATGACATAAATATTCAAGGAGTTTCAAACATCCCATAGCGTACGGTGGGATAGATTGAGCTACCTCCTTTATGACAACTTCCTTCCCTGCTTTGGAGAAGTTGTTCCTTCCAACCTCGGTGCTTTTTCCAAACCCTTTCTCTAATACTAGCAAAGACCTTCTTCTTAGATCTTCCCACCACAGATGGCAACCCTAAAAAGTATTTTTTATGTTGCTAAACTTTTCCAACCTCCAGTACCACTCCCAACTCTTCAGCTATCCCTCTGTGGCATTCTTGCTACACACCATCACGAATTTTTTCAAATTAACCTGTCGGCCTGA